AAAAAAAGAAAGAGAGAGAGAGAGAGAGAGAGAAAATTGCCGGCGCAAATGGAAATCACAATAATGCAGTCACTTTTCCAGATAGCAGCTCAAATTAATCTTCTTTTTACAACGTCATAATTAAAATAGCCTCTAGAATCTTTTATGATGCCATTGTCCTTGAAAACAAATCTGCTTTTGCAATGTAAAAATAATTTTACGAGTGCAACATATATATATTCTGTTTTTCTCTTACGTTGAAATTTACGTTGCATCTCTCGTACGCGTATAATCCGCGTGTAAATTCTATAAGCTTTTATTCGCTGGGTGAACAGAAATGTCCGCGCGTTAATTAATTCTTACTCTCTCGATATCGACCGGCTGTCTCACTCAGCCAACGTAATCATTCGCGAATATCATTTCCGCTTTCGATTTCGCATCTCAGAGCGTTTTCCCTCTGTTCGAGGCCGTAATGTTTTTGCTCAATATCACATATTGATGAGCTTTAGCAATCAAAGGCTGGTTGTTGTTTTGCTTTGCACATCTCTCTCTCTCCCCGAGGAGGGCTCCGTTCGAAAATTTTCACGCGGTCTGCTTTTCCCTAGCAATGTCAACGATATATCGAGAATGGAAAATTACGCGACAGAAATATTTTTCTTTCCGTTCGGCCTGGATGCAGAAACACCTTGAAAGACTCTAACCAGTTATTGTTGAGTCGTTGCGAGCACACCTATACGCGCGTACGTGTTCACGTGCGAGCATTTCGCGTGTACACCAACGTAACGTGAACTGATGACTAACCGAGTAACCCATTAGTTAGGCATTCGTTTCCCATAGTCCGCTGACATGATTATTCTCCTCGGTGTTATTTCGAACGACGGAATCCGGCGCGCGATTTTCGTCTCTCGCCGTCTCTCTCTCTCTTCTTTTATCCAAAGCTTTTCTCGAAAGAGAAACTTTCCCTACCGTAATGTTCACCGTAATAAATTGTAACATTAAGCGGTTCAATAATGTCGAGAATAAAATTTATATCTCTCGCGTCTATTCCCATTGACGAAAACGTGAATTTCTACCGCCGCGTTGCCGCTGATTCCACAGCTGCTAATTAATCCCCCGCGAAAGTAAATGTTGAGGTTTACGGTAGAATTGTGTTTATTTGACCTTTTACCTCGATACGGTGCTTTTACCAAAAATCGATAGCTCGCAGGGCCAGAGGGCAATTCTGTGGTCCATGCATCGTGCGCGTACAAAGGGACGGGCGTAATTGTTACAGATGGCGAGTCTAGGGCAGCGCGCGGAAACGGGAGCAATTAGGATCCTCTATAGCGGATGAAGGGTTTTACATGAACGCCATTAAACCTACTAAATGACATGAGAGACGCGAGGTGCTTAACGTGGGTTAAGCACTTCCTGCTTTCCGCCAAACGAGCCAACCGCCGCCTCCCTTTACGGGCAATACTTGCATTGCATAATGCATTACAATTGCATCTGCACCTCTCGGGTGTGTGTGTGTGTGTGTGTGTGTGTGTGTGTGTGTGTGTTGTTGTGTCACGTCGAAGAAACGAGAGATCTCACGATAG